TTTGATCAAGCCATTTCTATTTCTGGGTTTATGGTGTTTTGTCCAAATTAACTTTATACAATGATATGGCCTATAAAAAGGAATTGGCAAAGAAGATACTGTGTGGGTACTGCCATTGAAAATTCATTCCCCAGAGTTGGAGCTTGCTGTGGGAGGCATTGATGGGCTGTTACCCAAATTACTTCATTTGAGCATCTTTCACTGCTTTCATTTTCAAAAGGCAAAAAATATTGAAGTATCACTTTTTCCCCTAAAACTGGTACCATTCACAGCCAGATATATCCTGTATACCTGTTTCTATTTCTGCTATAGAAATAAAATTAAAAATTGATGGAAAAATGTCTTTGAAACCCATGATCAAAAGATAAGATTCCTAAAAGAAAATGTTATCAGCCTCTGAACACATTTTCTGGCTTGAAAAGTTTGCAAACAGTTTTTCCATGGTATGAGTCATCCATGATCCTTTGATGACCAGTCATCCACCTATCTCAAATAACACAGATTTGCATTTGATGTTGCCTAACATGATACAAGTCTTCTCTATAATCCCTGATCAGTGACCATTTGGACAACTGCCTTATTATGTTTTAAATTGTCTTTTTAAGATTAATGCAGTATACACAATTAACTATCCTCAGACCACACCAGTTTAAAGAATGACTAAGAACTGGATGACAGTTGCCATGGTATTTGAGCAGTAATATAGGGGCTGTACTAGTTTTTGAAGCCTTTTCTGTGACAACCTCATGTGCTGTGGAACAGATTCTCAGGGTCGTTGCTGGTAGACTAAGAGACCAAACTAGAAAGCAAGGATGTTATTCAAGCTTCTTGCTCCCTCACTCTCACATTCAACAATCAAGTTCTGATTCTTTTGCCTCTGAAATATCTCCCTATATATTTCTCTTTAATCTCTAACATTACTTCTTTTCAGTGTCTACTACCACTGCTCTGGTGGCTATCCATCTCTTCCTAGACACTGCAACTAGCCTTCTTATTGGAACCTTTCAAAGATTTTGAGGCATTTTATTTCCCTTCTTTGTTCAGGACTTTGCTTTGGGGACCTCATTAAGCCTTTAAATGCACTTAACAATTTCTTTCAAGAAATTATGAGATTTTTATGCAAAATAGAACTCCTGGTGGCTTCTCTTCCTATGCCAGAGTTTCTTCTCTTCCTATGCCAGAGTTTCTGCCAGGTGTGTAGAATGTTATTGCTCACCCCCAAGGACTCTTGCTGCCTTACTGTATGGGAATGGCTTGGGAATGAGAGACTTCAAATGATTTTAGAAGGAATTGTTTCTGAATACAGTATTATAGTGACTTCCTTCTCCTGAAGTGTTTAATAACATTGTTTTGCTTTTTTAAGTATATCAAGTACTTTCCTTGCCTCTGGATCTCGATGCCATGTAAGCATTTTTAGAGACGATTTTTTGTCCTTTTTTTGGCCCAAGCAAATCCTATATACCTGGTCTTCTACTTATAATGAACCTATAAAAACAATAAACAAAAAAATTATCAAGACATGAAAATGTTCTCAGCTAACAGCATACATTTATAAGAGGCTATTTTACTATGAAGCCATCTAATGTTAAATTCCTGTTCTGTCATCACCAACAGAGTAGCCATGGAAAGTTCTTAACCTCTGATAATAATTTTTTTATTGGTAAAACAGGGACAAAAATATTTTCATTAAGGGAGGTCAGTATCACACAAAGCATTAGCCAATAGTAAATACCTATAGCACTTTAATTCTTATTATTTGTTTTCTTTTTTATCATTACCAAGGATTGAACCAAGGGTCTTACACATGTTAGGCAACCATTCTGCATTCTACCACTGAGCTATATCCCCAGACCTTAAGCTTTTATTATTACTTTTATTATAAATGAAGCTATTGAGGTTTTTAAAAATCTCACTAGACAGTTTTAGGCTTAAACAATTATAGGCCAAAATTATTGAGTTAAACATCTTTTATCTAGAAGTAGATGTTCTTCTGGTACTTCAAACATTATGTTCCTAAGAGTGCCTGATAAATTTCAAAATGGAGAAGGGCAATTATCTGGCATAAATTAATGTCTTCACTAAACCTACTTTTCAAAGAATTGAAAGTTCTAAGTTAAATCTTTTTCTAATTCAACAAATTCATGAGTGCCTCCTCCACTGAAGTCATTGTGCATTGTTTCCAATGAGCCTTCAAGAAATTTATAGCCCAGAGGACATACTACAAGTACATAGAAAGTTACAGCCCAGTTAATATATGCAGTGCCTTAAGAGTGATATGAAATGTCACAGAAATTCAGAGTTATAGTAAAAACTACCCCTCTTTTGGCTAGAGTAGTGGTTTGCAACCATATTAGATACTTTATCCCCTCTTCTATAACAAATATTTTCCAAGATACTTTTTATTACATATTTGGAAATAAAACGTATATATAATATCCCACACACATAATTTATTTTCCTTTCTCTTCTGTTTTAAAAGCTTTAAGTGCACAAACTGATTGATCATAATTCTTAGTCATTGACACATTACCTTTATTGGTCTGTTCATAGTCCTCTTCTAGTCTTCTATTAGTCAGGTACAGTCTTAATAGAATAATCACCAGTAAAGCTAAGATGTAGGACCTTTACCATAACCTACTCCGGATATTTTCCCCCAACCATCTTCCTGTCGCCCTTGTTCTGAGTGACCAACCACCCAATTCCATGTTTTCATTGTCTTCCTTTTTAAAAATATAGCTTCATTGTATCTGTATGTTTTTGTTTGTTTTGCTGTGTTGTGGATGGAACCAGGGCCTAGTGCATGCTAGGCAAGAAATTTGCTACTGAGCTACACCCTCATTCCTTTAAAAATTTAATTTTTAAAAATAAGAGACAGGATCTCTCTGGGCTGGTTTTGAACTTGAAATCCTTTTGCTTCAGCCTCATGAGTGGCTGAGACTACAGGAAATACACTGCTCATAGCTATATGAATTTCTTGAACATATTTTCATTTTAGATATTTTAGTTTTATGAAGAGTGTTCATATACCATGTACACTTTTCACTTAATCTTATTCATCCATGTTGTTGCATATGTCATTGTGGTTCACTGGTTTCAACTATTGTTTTATATTCTATTGTGTGGATGTACCAAATTTTACTCACCCCTTTTAAAGGGCATTGCAGTTTAAAATAAGTTTTTGCTGTGTTGGGAATATACAGGGTAGGTATTTGCCCAATCGGATATTAGGATTTATAATGGAACTATGGAAATTAGGACAATATGGTGTTGATCCAGAACTTAAAAAAGTTTACTTTTATGCACATTTTAATATTTGCTTCTTGGTATACACATCTAAGAGCTTTTCTCGTATATACTGCTAAAGTGAGATTGTTGTATTATTACATTATTTGAATGTTTAATGTTAGCATATAAAATCAAAGCACTTTCCACAATAGTTTCCCTAATTTAAATTCCCACCAGTAGTGGATGAGATTCTGTAAATCTGAATCCTTTCCAACACCTGCAATTGTCAGAATTTAGGTTTATTAGCTATATATTCTTTCTCTTCTGTGAAAAGTCTGTTTTTATCTTTTGCTCATTTTTTTATGTTGGGTTGTTAGTATTTTTATTGATTTTAGGAGTTCTTTATATACTTATATGCTGATCCTATATCAATTATATGAATTGTAAGCATCTTCTTCCAGTTTGTAACTTTTCACTTTCTTTAAGTTAGAGTACTTAATTTTAACATAGTCACACTGATTAATTTTTCAGTTAATTCTTTTTATGTCTTATTTTAAAAATTCTACTTTACTCTAAATTGTATTAATTTTTACATTTTTTCTGTATTTAAAATTTTAATCCATCTGGAATTTATTTTTATTTAAAAATAGGTAGAGATTAATTTTAATTTTTTCTAAATTAATAATCATTTTTTCATAGCTCCATTTGTTGAATTGTCTTTTAGTATACCTCATTTTGACATACCACACTGTCATATACAGAGTTCCTATGTGCATAGGCCTATTTCTTGCCCTTATATTCTGTCATTCAACTTTATCAAGTTCTGGACCAACAACATATTGTCCTAATTTTCATAGCTCCATGATAAATCCAAATATCTGATTGAGCAAATAACCTATCCTGTGTGTTCCCTTTTCAAAAAGTACAGTAAATTGTTGTATCTCTTTTTGTTTCTTTATTTTTCCTTACATTTCTAATTTTTAAAAATCAAAATAATGTCCCTATTGTAATACAAAGACTAAATAGCTGGGCATTCCTGTAATCCCAGCAACTCAGGAGGCTGAGGCAGGAAGATCCCAAGTATAAGGCCAGCCTGGGCAGCTTAGTGAGACCCTATCTCAAAAATCACAGAGGGCTGGAATGTAGCTCAATGGTAAAGCATCCCTGGGTTCAGTCCCCAGTGCTGAAAAAGATTAAATAAATAAATAAATAAAGTTTAAAAAAACTAAATGAAAGGAAAGTGATTTATAGTCAAAATAGTAGATAGACGGACAGACAGATAGATCGATACCATACACATTTTTTATGGTGTTATCCATTTAGGTTATGGCAACACCATGAAAACATCACAAATATTTAAAATGACCCCAACAAGTAGAGCAGCCCCTATCGAGAACTGACAAGGAAGAGAACTGGAGATGCCATAGGGAAGGGAGCATCTTAGTGGAGCTTTAAAAGACGTGTAGGGTTCAAGCTGGCATATCTGAGAGAACATTTCAGAGAATTTTTTAAAAGCACTGATTATATTCATAGAAAGTTAGGAGTAGGAAATTTGTTGTTTGCGTTTTTCGTTTTGTTTTGGGGGTAGTGGCACAAACCAAGGTTAGCTAATACCTAAATACTACCCCTTATACTGGTGTAGCTCAACACACAGCTGACCCACCTGCTTTCTTTTTGGCAAGATCATCTAGAGACTAAATTAAATTCTGAGAACATGAACTAATAAACCAAAGCAATAAATCCAGCCTTAATAAAAATGAAATAAGTTCCCCACATTTCATTTGAAGCTGTAACTTTATTAAAGCACATTTATAGTATATGGAATTTATTAAGCACATTTGTAATAACATTTTTTTTCAGTTGACAAGTATTTCCTATGTTTCACTTTGCCTCTGTGGATGGCTCAGATCCTTTCTAAAAACAAAATTTTGACATTTTAAAAACATGGTTATGGTTGCCAAGGAGTTGAAGAGTGGGTGAACCATTCCAAGTTGGTTATCTGATGAGTAGGCTGGACTAGCTGAGATCTGCTATCTTTCTTAGATCAGGGTTCCCAGATGGTATTTCAGTCAGCTGACCTATTGGTAGGGAACAGGATTAAAGGGTTATTCATTCGCCCATCTAGTATTTCATTTCTCTACAATTTTAAGGGTCTAACTAGCAATTTGCTTTAACATGAAATGGCTAGTGTTTTAGATAATCAGCAAGATAATGGTGTTAGGAATTCCTTGAAGGTCTCAAATCTAGTTTTGATGTTGAGGATGCTCAGATTATGTATTTCATAGTGTAAAAATAAAATCATATCACCGATGTAAGTTTGTAAAGGACTTTGAGCCTGATTCAAAATACAGTACCTTTGAAAATAATCTTATTGAAATCAGAATTCACTGTATCCAAGTAATACTCTTCATATGATACTTAACTTAAAATGTTTGATACTGATAACACATTCCAGCATTCTTGTGTTCTAGGTTGCCAGATTTTGCAAATAAAATTATAGGACATTCTGTGTAAATGGAATAAGTGTATTTGAAATGTACTTATATTAATTCATTATTTATCTGAAATTCAAATTTATGGACATCCTATATTTATCTGAAAACATGCCCACACCACAATATTTTATACTCCGATTCTGAATTCTTGGGCTGGTGATATAGGTCAGTTGGTAGAGTGCTTGCCTCACATGTAGAAGCCCCTGGGTTCAATCCTCAGCAACACACACACACACACACACACACACACACAGACTGAATTCTTGATTTTTCTCACATCTTACTTCTTATAGCATATTCTCTCTTTAGGTCTTATAACTAAAAAATGTGGGAAAAAACCTCCTTTAATTACTTTCTCCCAAACACCATTACCACCAGGCATTGAGTAGAAATAGTGTTGGGGAAGGGGATATATGTGAGAATAGTTGTGCTTAAAAAAAAAAGCCATAAAAATCCCACATCTCTTATTGTACATACAATATGTAGCTAAATATAAAAATGATCTTTGGTTCATTTGGATGCCCCTGTATTTAACATTTTTATATATTTAAGGATATTAATGAATGAATAATAATAATCATTATTTTTAAACCTTATGCCTTGGGGATTTCAATAAATGAATTTGATTATTTCATTAAAGAAATTTAATTTAGCTCCTTTTAATATAAGATGGGTATTCATGGCAAAATAAACAACTTTATACTGAAAAACTTAGTTCTATTCAAAAAAGTCCATATGTCATATCCTACATTGTGAATTTCTCATTTTCTCCTCTTTTGGGGTCACAGATTCATTCTCTTTCTGGCTCATCTCTTATCAGTTCTTATCTCTCCTAGTTTTTCTCCACTCCTTGGCCCCTTCCTTTAGTACTGCTCCTGGAAACTCAACAATTTTCAGACTATTCTGTTTTATATAGCCCATACCCTAAGGACCATGCTACTATAGCCAAAGTGGCTTATCAAAATGTTTTGACAAACAAAAGACAAGTCTTCTTTAGGTCAATTCTATCACCAGTCCTTAAACAATGTTTCCCTCCCCACTATTATTATTAAAGGGGAAAAAGACATGGGGATAAAAAAATGCCTATTAACCATGAAGATGAAAGAGACCCTCTATGATCCCTTGAATTTATTTCAAGCCACCATGTAAAGAGGGCTAGAGATCAGAAGCTGATAGAACTGCTCAAGAGAAATTTTCATTGGGCCCGGATGGAGAAGCCTAAGGTAGGTGATCAGGTAAGGTTCTGAAGGGCAGGAGGAGGCCATCATTCATCTTTTTCAGCTTTCTTTCAGTGCCTGGAACAGAAGAAACATTGCTGGCACCCAGGGATGGGTACTGGATTCTTCTATGGAGCAACATCTCTTCATGATGAATTGTATGCAACTGGAGGGAGAACAACTACAGAGGAATGGAGAGGGAACTGCTGTTAGCAGCCTGATATGTGAACCCCTTGAAGTTAACTTTTGGGTCCCCCAGGAACAGCTAGGGATACCCTGAAAAGTGACAAGAGAAAGGTCATAGGAGAGATCACACAAGTTATTTCTTCTAGAGAGAAAGCATTAATGAGCTGGACCATGAAGGAGTATTCCATAGGTAATCTCACTTTAAGAGGTAGCAACTTACATTATGCTAAAAGAAATACACCCACATATAATTTTTTAGTATTGTTGTTACTAGATAATGTGATGTAAAGGTGTGTTAGTCGGCTTGCATCACTGTATACAAAATACCTGATAAGAACAACTTAGAGGAAGAAATGTTTACTTTGTGCTCATGGGTTCAGAGGCCTCAGTCCATGGTCGGCTGACTCCATTGCTCTGGGGATGAGTGAAGCAGAACATCATGGCAGAAGGGTATGGCAGAGGAAGACTGCTTATCTCATGGTAGCGAGGAAGCACAGAGAAAGCAAGAATCCAGGGACAATATATAATCTCCAAGGGCATGCACCCAATGACCTGCTTCCTCCAGTCACACCCCACCTGCCTACAGTTACCATCCATTAATCCATTCACATTAGTATCTCGTAAATGGATTAATCTACTGATTAGGTTATGGCTCTCATAATCTAATCTTTTAATCTCTGAACATTCCTATATGATCTAACGAGCTTTTAGGAGACATGTTATCCAAACCATAAGAAAAAGCAATGACTTCTTGCCAAAGAAATTGTTGCATTGCTCCTAGAAGATTATGATAGATTTCTCCTTCCCTGTTTTTAACAGATGGGTTAGTAATGTTGATTAGTAATGTTGTTAACAAATGGGAACACTTAGTATCAGATAGCCTATTGAGATAGGAGCCACGAGCTGTGTTAGTTCATTCCAACTTCATGAAATCTAGGACTACAAATATTATTTCGTATAGAGATGTTTTGAAAAACATCTCTTCGTTATTTTGAGATATACAAGAATATACCCACCAGAAAGAGTGATAAAAATCTAAGGTGATGGATATGTTAATTACCTAGATTTGATCATGACCCAATGTATACGTGAATATAAACATCACATTGTACCTCATAAATACATACACAAACACATATATTATGTGCTAATAAAAAATACAAAAAAATGTGAAAACCACAGCAAATACCTTCCAGAGAAGAAAAACAAACAAATTGAACTATTGCCAATATGGGAGATGAAAAATGGCAACCAAGACCTGTCTGATGGTTGAAGGAGAGAGTTTGTCTCCTTTCTCCTGGGAGCCACATTCATTACAGTTCAACAGGGTAACTCCAACCGTCTATCTTAGAACCTTAGTGAGATGTGTGGAGGTAAAAGCTGCTGGTCTGGGTGGCCTCATGAGAAACAAATTCATTTGTTAGATGGACATTTTTAAAACCTGCCACATATGTTAGCTATTTTTATGGCAATTAAATTGGTGGATCTGAGAAGTGAAGGTGCAATAAAACCTTTCACAATAAACCACGTGGAAAGTCATCTCATCCAACCCCTGGAGGTCAAAAGCCACAGTACCATGTTGCCTTATACCACAAAGAAGAATTAAGACTCTTAGACTGCTTGCCTTTCCCTTTTTGCTTTATAGACAGGGGCTCTGGATTTGAGGTGGAAGGAGAATTTTGTGCAACATAGCAGCAGCAGGGCTGGGGGAGGGTGGGAAGGCTTCCCTTGCCAAACCTAGGGAGTGCTTTGCTAGCAACTTCTAGAGCTGTGGCATTTCTATGTCATCCTTTTGCCACCTTCAGGAAGTACATATTCTTCCTAAGGGATATGGGGTGGGGAGTTGTTACTTGATGCTTTTCTCTAGGACAAAGGTAGATGAGGTACATGAGTCAGAATAGGCTTCTATAGTGAAAGGGCTTGGGGTTTACGAAGTATAGACAATATATTATAATTTTATTGAGTTATATGCATGGTATACGGCTTTCAAAATACTAAAGGAAACTTCATTTTCTCCTGAGAAGATGTAATGGTGTAACTGAAAATTGATTCTTATAAGGGTTCTAGGACACTTTCTTATTAATTTGCATTTTGAAGACCTAAGCATAAGTTATTTAGCTATGTAAGAGTCCAGAAAATCATTATAGTAAAAAAAAAGTTTCTGGGCCAAAATATATTTGAAGTTTCTCAGTAACTTTTAAAGAATAACTAGTAAGTTTATCTGTTTTAAGTTTGTTTTGAGAACTACTCTCATTTAAATTTATTTATTTCCTAAAATAGGCTTCTAATGAAGTCAGCATGCTATTCAGTTCCTATTTATCCTTTTTATTTAATTGTTTTAAATTTGAGATTTTGAACAACTCCAGATAGCATGAGATGCATGCTGAGAACTATTTAAAAAGAAAGATCAGATTTGATATTAACACTCTGAATACTCTAGAATCTGAAATAACCTAGTAACTGTCATTCTCATTTTCCCTGTGGAAGATCTAACTTCTGCCAAAGGGATGATACAGGCCTGTAGGTCATGCTCAGTGACCTTGGGTGCAAACTCGGGCCAATTCTGGATGGATGAAGGTACCTGGACAGGGTTTCTGACTGCGTGATTCTGAAACACCTTCACAGTGTTATTCATTGTGGTGAAGGATGGTTTCTGATCAATAGAGGACGTGTAGATAAAATAACCGATCAATGAATGTAAATTTTATTCCTCAGGTGGTTGCTAAGTGTGACTGAGGAGCCTGAATGGCACCCCACTTAGAACAAACCTCCAAGATCTCAGTTGTGCACCTTCAGCTCAACTCTGCTGGTCTGGATCTTAGGAAGCATCTGGCACAAACCTCTCATTTTACAGATGACAAAACTGAAGTTTTGAGAGGTAGGGGTGACTTTCACATTCAAACAATTAGGGCAAATACCAAGGTCACCTGAGTTCAATTCCCAGGTCTTCTACTAATAGCTGTGTGATTTGAGGCCAGTCATTTATCTGCTCTGGACCTGCTTCTTCTAAAGATGAGGGCTTGGGGGATTTAATATGTTTTTTTTTTCATTTGGTCCCAACATTCTTCTCTCCACTGTACTAAATCTTTGATTTCATTTATTCCATAGTAAAAAGTAGTTGTTTGGAAGCAGCTGCCCATCAGGGGTCATGTTTTGCAGTTTGTTTCCCCTGCCCTCTCA